TCGCTGTCTTTGTTTAATCTGTTTGGTTAAGTTCTCTATCTAGTTCTTGCGACTAACAGCACTAATATTCTTTTCGTTTATTCTCACCTCACTATCACAATTATATCCTAGAATTTTATTGCACCGATTATTTATCATATATATATAAAGAAATCTATCAGCTCTATCTTTAAATATTATGGTATAGCTATTGATTTGTACCAATAATTGTTATGGTCAACAGTTAATGTGCAGAATTGACGGGGTGTATGTACCGGGCCATTTGCATGAGCAAGCGATTAAGTGCTGCCGTACGCTCCCAACAGGGAGAATACTAGTAAGTCTTGTTAGGTTAATATAAGGACAATAAAAACACAAATAAGGGAGAATTTTGAAAATCATATGTTGAATCCGTATGTTAAAAGAATATAAATTAATTAATAATAAAAGTATTCTAATTGTTGTCTCTGAAAATAACTTTTAAACGGGGGTTGGCAAAAATAAATTTGGCACATTTTTTGATGCACCTGTATAAGCAGGGGCATAAGCAACTGATTATCATTGCTAGAAAAAATTTTTACAATTAAATGCAAACGAAGTACTCAGACCTCTGAAACAAATACATAAACTTCTAGACGAGCACATGACAAAGAGAACAAAGGAAAGGTGGCGAAACTTAACCACCTGTAGAATAGCTAGGATGATGTATAGACAAATAAACGAATAAAAGTACACCAAGGATGTTATATCGTCTAGATAAAGGAACTGTAGAACATTAATTGGTGTATTGACAGGTCACTGGTTTGGTCGCATTACCTGCGCACAAACTAAACCTAATTCACAGCTATGCTTATAGGAAATGCAACGAGTCGGATGCAAAGGAAACTCTAGAGCATCTGCTGTGTTACTGCTCGACTCTCTTGAGAACTCGACAAAAATACTTGGGGGCTGTCAGTTTTACTAGAGTGGAGCATATACCTGAGGTTTCTGTTGAGATCCTGATAAAATTCGCTAATAAAACGCGCATTCTAAGTTATGCACACAATCGCTAAAATAAGACTCTTATCTGGTATCGCAATGGACCTTAATGGTCTGACAGCATAATCTAATTTAAATGCGAACTCAAGATTATATTAAAGGCTGGAAAAATATTAGCAACATCTACATTTTCTTCCTTAAAAAATTCTAAATAATATAATTTTGTTGTGTACACATACTAAGTTTTTGTCTGTGAAAGATAGAAATGTCGATCTTTGTTTTACAGTATAAGAGTGCGGTGAAATGAAATTATTTTTGCATAATGTGCTATATATTTTTACATATAATTTGGATATTAAAATCGAATTTTTTTATAATTTTTTAAATTTTTTATTCAGTTTTTTAAATATATATGTATATATACTCATTTTGTATATTATAAATTTGATGTTTAGCATTATTAAAAACCATTATTTTAGACTATACAAATAATGCTGTTTAGCTTAATATTCAATATTATATATTTATTGTTTTATTCCTTATGTATCTGTCATTTATATACTAAGTAAATAATTACGAAATACGATTAAATAAACAAAAATAACGGTATTTTAAATTAATATTTATGTACTCTAAACATATTATTAAGAATATGGTTTACAAAAGTTTTAAGATTCAGCGCATTTCCGAAACATATACATACGTAAGTAACGCAATTATACATGCATATATAACGTTCACACATTTATTCATTACAAATTACAAATAATTATTTAGAATGGAAAAGATGATTAAGTTAGATTTTTTTTTAATAAAATTATTTATAATTTATAATGCGCTTTTATTTTACTACACTAACATTTTGTTAAATATACAATTATTTCATGTGTATACTTTTAATTGGATTAATCTTTTCAAGTATTTTTATTTTAGCTATTCGTATTAGTTTTGAAGTTTTCATAATTCTTCCAGTGACGTTTCATATTGAATTTATTTACAACTATATTTAAATATATATTTTTTTCATATATATATACGTATAAATCTTGCAACTGCGGCTTGTTGCAAGGTTTATTTTATTTTAATAAGTTTTTTTTTACAACTTAATGTTAGCATTTAAATTAATTACTTAACAATCAGTGCAACGACATTTAATGTTCTAAAATTTTTTCAGCATTTTTTCAATTTATTTTTTGTTATTTTACTTAATCGTAACATTTATAGTTTTGTTTAAGAAAATACGTATATTTTAATGTAATGTCTATATGCTAATTGTTACATTATTAATATTTGTTGCTTCTATAAGATTATGTAAAGAACACGTAAAAAAATTAATTTGTTAACAAGTTATTTGAACAGAACATTCTTAAAAAATTTTCATAAATACAACTAAAACTATTTATGCGCATTTTTCTTAATTACTATTTTTAAATATTCTGCGCATATTTTATAAAAATTGCTATACACGATTTATCATCACAAAATTGGTTTGAATTAATATTTTTATCGTTTTACTGTTCGTAGTAAAACTAACATAAAATAATAACTCAATTACCTTTTTTGAGACCTAAAAAAAAGTTTAAAACTTTGCATTCTCAATAATTGCTTATTAGGCGGCTGACTATTAAGGCAGATGGTATGTGGTATGGTATGGTCATATAGCAGTTAATGACAAAATCAAACATTTTAAACTTTTTATAATTATTTGGCGTAGGAATTAATAACATTATACATATATCTATTTACATTTCTTGTATTGTTCTTGTTTAAGGCAAATATTAACTTTTCCTTATGATTATACAATCGAATCGAATTTTGGGCGGCGTATGTCTACAATAGCAAATCTTGATTAATGCATCTTTCACACGTTAAGACTTTTAACATACAAACAACAATTATGCATTACTAATTCCTTATAAGCAACACTTTACATATCTGACACATTCATATTTTTATTTTATTTTTATATATAATAAATTTACAAATATAAAAAACTATCACAAAAGAATACTTTTTACTATTTACAACATCATTTTTACCTTATAGCTATCTATTTATTACTATTATTTGCCCTAAATGTACATTCAACTGTATATGTTTAATTATAAATATGATAATATATTCATTCATTTTTGTTTTTGTTATTCAACTCAAAAGGTTTTTGGAAAACATTGTTATAAAAGTTATAGAATTAAAAAAAAGCGGCAGCTCTACATTATTTTTTATTTCTAATACATAACTTTATATATTATTTCAATGTTTTATTTTATTTTACAATAAAGCACATCGTTTATTTTTATGTAACTGAATTCTTAATTTAAAATATTTAGGTTTAAATTCTAAGTAAGTTTGGCTTAAAAACTAAGTTTTGTGTTCTTATTAATTACTGAATAAAGTGAAATTGTATCTTTATTTCCTTTTTCTTTCGTTCCATATATTATATCCGCAATTATAAAATTAAAAATTTTTTTTTTCTCACAATTTCTAAGTTGAATTATTTTTTGATTAATGTAAATGGCTTTAACTATTTCAGTTACTTAGTTTTGATAGTGTTATGCATAATGTATATGTACAGTACAATGTAATAAAATATATAGAAAAATTCTATTTAATTTCCTATGCACAAAATGAAAATGTTTATTTACAGAAACAAATTACATATTATGACATTAGTTAATGAAATAGCTTATCAAAGCAATTTTTCTTATTATTATCACTAAGCACAGCTTAGTTTGAGTTTTGAGGAATTGTTGCCCATTCCATTGTTTTATTGGAAACTTGAAAGGTTCAAATTTAGTTATAAGTAGCATGAAAGACATAATTTTCTTTGAAGTAAGTACGCGCATGTGCTAATAAAGTATTGACTGAAATTGAGTTGAAGAAAAAAAAACATATTTTTTTCTTTATAAACTCATGCTAGCGAAAATGAAAATATTTCTTTATAATAATACATATTTATTTGTATGAAGTAATATGCTAAATTTAAGATGAAAATTATTATTACTGGGTTTTCCAAAACATTTCAATCAAGATGCAGTTTTTATATATTCGAAAATGTTTGTTATATAAAAAATGTTAAATACTGTTTCAAAGAATTCTTATTTTTAGAACAAACAATAAAATAAAGATTTAATTTATATTAATTAAGAATGTATTTTGGGTAAAAATAAAATAATTTGTTTTTATGAATTCAGCTGTAGGATTCTTTTTTGTTAGCCTTTTCATGTACTAGCCTTGAGAACTTTATATATATATATATATATATATATAAATGATAACTTAAAAATACAATAGCATATTAATGGCTTATTGTATATATTAAAATTTATTGTTTTTGTCATTTTAATGGGTCGTTTTTTATAGGAGTAAGAGGTAATATTAATTTTAATATACTTTGTAGTATTTTTACATATAAATACAATTCTTTTATTTAACTTTTTTACATATGCATTACAATCTTATTAATTTTAAAATATTTACAGTTTAATAAATAATGCATACATAAGTAAACATTATGAAATCTATTTTGTTATTGTGATACTTAAATAAATTAAAATTTTTTACATTTCAAAGTGCTAAATAAAACATTTATCGTCTTGTCTTCTATAAAATGTACTTGAGAAATCATTTTTATGTTTAATCTTTAATAATGATTGTAACTATAACTTGTACGCTGCTTTTTAAAAAATGTGTTTCATTATATAAAATTCATTCCTATTTTACATATTGTGTATGTAACTATATATTAACACGTATATACATAAAAATTTTCAAATAAAATAAATTACTTTCTAATATTAAATGGCTTGCGAAAACTTTAATAAATTTTTTTATAATTGTGTTGCAACAAAAATCTTAATGTTTAAAAAAAAAAACAAAGTTAATATGAAAATATAAATGTTAATATAATACGTTTAAATAAAAAAAAAAGAAAAAAAAAAAAAATTAAGTGATTAGCATAATACAAATATGAAAAATTTTAAATATTCTTATGCATTTATAAAATATATCTATACATATTAAAAACAAATATATAGTTATGATATATATTTGTATATATTCTACTACATCTAATTTTAAAAATATCGTGGTTGATAAAATCGATTTACATGTGATGAAAGCTAATTACATTAAAGCTGTTCTACGAACTTGGTTAATTGGTCAGATGCATCTGTTACGGGTCCAGTACCACCGACCCCTCCTACACCACCTACGCCGCCAACACCGACATCTTGCGGTACACCTGGCAATGGGGATTGATGTGGATGCATACCATGATTGTGTAGTGGATCGTGAGGACCCTGTGGCGCAGGTGAATGACTCATTACATGATGTGGAGATGGCTGTGCCCTTGGTGAAGCTGATGGCCCAGCACGAGGTGATGGAGCTGAGCGTGGAGATGGCGTAGGAGATCGCATTGGTGGTGAAGAACGAGCAGTTTGCATTAATTGTTGTTGTAATGTGTGAGGTGTGGGCGGACCCATTACGTTCTGACCACCCATCATATTTGCACCTTGCATCATTTGTTGTTGTACACCGGGCATACCTGCCATTTGCTGTTGTGCATTTGGTTTAAGACCTTGTTGCATAGCAGCATATTGATCAACTGGACCACCTCCAGCACCACCGAAATTGCCACCAGGAAACTGTTGACCACCACCACCACCCATCTGCGGAGCCCGCTGGCGTTGTGGATATGGTGGTGGATAATGTGACATTGGTACTTGTCTCATTTTAAACCATTGTGGATTTGATACCTATATATAATGCGAGAAGACTCATTTAAAATGTTCATAAAATATATATACATATATAAGCAAAAGATAGCATAACATATATGTTATATATGCTATATAACTTTACAGAGTTTTATAGATATTTTAGAAAACAAAAAAAAAACCACGAATCATTTTGACTAGACACGAATTTAAAGTAAATTAATAACAAATCAAGACATCTGAACGTTATGTAAACAACATTTCACAAAAAATCGATTTGATAATGAATCAAAATAGCAATTAATTACTGGAGAGAAATTCGTGAAGAGTTATTTAAAACGAAATTCAGCCACTATATAATGGCGCATATATTTTTGTATGAAGTATTCACTAACTGAAAGGTAATAACAGCAAATATTATACCAGGATATTGGAACATTTCAAGATAGAAATCGCAATAAAATAACTTTAGTAAGCAGAGAATAAGCTCTTTTTCATCAGGACAAATCACCGCAATCACCGTGTCAAAAGTTTTTAGTTACGATGGCCGATTTGTATAAATAACACTTCGAATTACGGACATTAGCTATAGTATTTGTCAGATTTGGCTTTCAGTGACTAGTCCTTATGTTTTTACTCAAACAATAAAGTTATGTTCAAAACAAAGAAACGAATGTTCCATAAAAAAAGTATAGATATATCAGAGAAGCGTTGAAATGATTGTATTGTTGTTGCGATACAACAATTTATTTATTGTTATTAAATTAAGTCGATTAGTAGAGTAGTAGAAATCCACTGAATCTAATTATAACACAAGTAAAAACTCCCATGTTTTCTGCATTATAAGTTTCCACGGATTTTAGCAGCATAGTAGTGCAACGTGGGTTTCAAATACTCGCACAAGACGACGATTGTGATTTTCATGGTATTGGTTTGGTAAACAAAAATTATAGAAAGCATTTGTTCATGATATACTGATATAAATGTACAATTTTTTTAGGGGGAGGTTACATAGGTTCGAATTTTTTTACCTAGTAAATGTATTAGTTAATATATATACCAATAAACAACAACATTTTTAAAGTGGTAACAAGGATTTCAAAATTTGGAAAATAAAGGAAAGTAAGAAGGATAACCATGAACAAAAATGCCTTGGTTTAAAGCATACAGTCTGCATTGAAACACACCTAGACACAGTTAGGAACATCATCCATCTACTCATCTATTTAAGGCAATCAAAAATATATATTTTATTTATTCTCCGATGACTTAGTAATTGTGTCAGAAATTAACTTTACCTTTTACACTATTAGTGGAAGTAAATTACAAAATGGATTTAAGATTCAAATTCAGTAATAAGGGTATTCTTAAAAATTTTACGATATGATATATGGTAAATTGTGTTTTTATATTGCTTTAATATATTAATTTCACTTACAGGTCCTTGTTGCTGCATACTGCCAGGTACTTGTTGTTGTTGCATCATCATTGGATTTTGCATCCCAGGCATACGTTGATGTGGATTTGGTTGTTGTTGCTGCTGCTGTGGTTGCATTACAACTTGTTGATTCGTTTGTGGCATTTGTTGTTGATTCATCATGTGTTGCATTTGTTGTTGTTGCTGCATCACTTGTTGCTGTTGCTGCTGCTGTTGTTGTTGTTGCTGCTGCTGTTGTTGTTGTTGGGGACCATTTCCACTAGCATTTGGAGCAACGCTTGGACCTACAGCATTTGATTGACTTTGTTGACGTTGTTTTATAATAGCAGCCATTATTTGAGGGTTTTGCTTAAGAACTTGCAGAATTTTTTGATGGTCTTCACTAGTTGGATTATTTTTAATCTTGGCCATAATTTGTGCTAACTGCTGTGTGTTAAGCGAAGGAGGACCATTAGGAATATTACCGCCACTGCCAACCGGTGTAGCTCCATGTTGTCCTTGAGGTCGAATGCCGACAGGTCCACCTATGGATCCTCCCATACCCATATTTGGATTGGTTATACCACCAACACCAGCACCTACAGTCATATTTGTGTTACCAGTCATTTGATTTGAGCCTCCAGCTCCAACCATATTCATCATGTTCTAAATAGTTAATATGTTATTAAAATTGATTATATTATAAAAAAAAATAACGTACCTGTTGTTGCTGCATAGCGTTTTGTTGCATTACTTGATTTTGATTAGGTTGTCGCATAGTTTGATTCGCATTTTGATATCTACTATTTCCCCACTGATCCATTGGAAGAAGATTATTTCCCATCACAGCATTTCCTCCAGGACCCATTTGCGACATGCCTCCTACATTTACATTTGCAACACCTCCAACCATTCCACTGGGATTTGCTTGATTTGGTACCACTCCAAGATGGCGTTGCATAACAGGTGGCGCCATAGGTCCACCCTTACCAAAACCACCATGTGGCACTTGCTGTCGTGCCGCTTCTTCCTGTACCTATTTAAGAAAAACGAAACAACCATGTTATATTCATTTTTGATAAATCGAAGTTTTGCAAACTATATTATTTACCTGCTTTACCACTTGCATTACATTCGGTGATGGAGAGTGTCCTCCGCCTGGTTTCATGCCAATACCTGACTGATGTGGATGTGTTTGTGCCATACCGCCTGTCATTGGTGGTGCTACTGGAGATGGTACTGCAACCGTTGACGGACTCATACCACCAGCTGCTGCAGGCATTATTGCAGGTTGACCAGTTACTGCTGGTTGTGCGACTGTTACACCTGGCACAACATTTCCGACATTTGAAGGTGGCACACTACTTGCACTGACAAGAGGACCAGGGCCAGCAGTTGGCGTTGTCACTGTTCGTGACATAAGTGCTACACGACGTCGCAATAACTGTTGCTGTTGTAGCCTAAATCAATAGAAAATTTATGATTATACAAATGTACAGAAAGATTTTCAGTCGTGAATACGTACTTTTGTTGTAAGGCCTGCTGTTTTAATTTGTGTTTAATATTCGGACAGAAAGGAACAGGACATTTTTGCTCTTGACAATGCTTAGCATGATAGCAACATAACGCAATAAGTTGTTTGCATATAGGGCAACCACCATTTGTTTTGCGTTTGCAGTTCTTTGTATGTTGAACGACACGTTTCATCTTCTGACACGAAGGTAATCGACAGTTGGCATCCCGACATTGACATGCATGTACCAATGATTGAATGCAACGCTGTATTGATTGTTTTCGAGCCTCTTGTGGATTAGCTTGCTTGAGATCAGCAGGGGAGGATCCATCATCCAAATCAAAGCCAAGTTTTTCCATTTTATGTGGGTGACCAATTTTTTCCTTGCATATGGTACACAAGTCATAATCCTAAAATTAAGTATTTAAGTATTGATATATACATAAATGTTAGTTGAAGGAAAATAAGTATTTGAAAATAATATCAAAAATAAGACTTACATCACAAACAGTGCAGTGGTATCTTGTTTCCACGGGAGTTTTGCAGTTATTGCACGTGTAAACGAATTTATCTTGACCTTGATTGTGTAACTCGTATAACATTGAAAGTGTTGAAAACTGAGCTCGTCGCAATGATGAAAACTCATAATGCTTATCACGTGCGAGTGTAAGAAATGCATCACGACCATCCATAAGATCACAAGATAGTAGCGGATCAGGATCTTGAATAGGCTATTTATAGATTGATATTGAAATTGAGAAAAGTAGATATTAATTTAAGAATAGTTACACAAAGATGTTTAAAATATACTTACTGCTAGACTAGCTGCAGACTGTGCAGAATGCAAACGAATAACAAAGAAAACCTCTTTATGTTTTTCCATAGTAGCATAAATTTTAGCAGACAAATCGTTGCCTGTTTGTTGTTCATTAGATTTCTTATTATTTTTTCGTTGTGCAGCTTTGGATTTATTCGATTTTTTTGCTTTCTTTTGCCCTTTTTTCTTACCATCCCCACTGACTTCGTTATCTTCGATAGAAAATATCTGATATAAATATAAAAATAATGTTTTACTTTTAGTTTCAAAATAAGTAACTAATATCTAAATTACATTTGCAGCTGCAGCAGCGGCTTCAGCTAATTCAGCTTGCTTTCGCTTTTCTTCTTCTTCTTGATCAAGTTCCTTAATACTTTCTTCAAGTACATTAGGCCAAAAATCACCCTCAAAATAAGGTAATTCAGCTGCAGATGATAATTTATCTTCCATTGCTTGCTTCAAAATATCTTTGTAATCTTGTATGGTGCGTTCTATCATACCCTTATCTAACATTTTCTTATACCATTCTTGTAAACGTTTCGGTTTTGGTATTTTTTGGTCAATTGGATGACAGTGAAATATGTAGTCATCGCCTTCAGATGGAGGACAAGCCCAAATATGTGCCATAGTGTATCCCAATTGCTTAACATAATCCATATAACCGAGCAGGATTTCATGATATACAGCAGTACGATATTGGCGAGGTCTGAAAAAGTGCACCGAGTCCAAATAAGCAATATAAACACGACGTGTATTTGGTGCAGGGCATTCTGAGCCATACTCTTGGACATGCATACCAAAGAAGCACACATCAATACCGTCAACTTCTTCGAAAGCAAATAATGCTTTCGCCCGATACGGAAACTCGGATGACATCTCACCATTGTCTACGAAACGCCTTCGCATACCAGGCTTCACTTCCACACATTTATCTGAAGATGACACAACTCGAATGTGTACTTCACCAGCACCAGCTTCTTTCTTTTTGAGAAAATTATTTACACGTGTCTCAATGTAAACACCAAGTTTAGTTGTTTGCAATCGTTTAGCATTGAATTTGTTCTCCTTGCGTTTGGAACTTTTCTTTTTAAGGCAATTGTCACAAACGAAGCCACCAGGCCAAATTGAGTCCAACCAGAGTACACAAATTTGATGCTGTTTACGACCACATTCTTGACAATCAACAAATGGTTCCAATTCAAGATGGTCATTCTTCATTTCTTTGAATTGATCTTTTTTGATTTGTCTATTTTAGTTAAACAAATATAAAAAAAATGAATAATGAACTTACAACTGTTAATAAAATTAATATAAATTATAAATTATAAGTGCAATATTGTAATGATATTGTATTATCATTACTGTACAATTTTAAAGTTATTGCAGTTATTTAAAATGCATTTTAATTTATGATAATAAAACGAAAATAAATAAGTTACTTACGTCTGCGATTGGACTGGATCATCGCCAAGGGTGACTGTATCTCCTTGTATGTCGTTGAAGCATTTTTGGCAAAAAGTATATCTGTTTGAGGCAACACCATAATCCTTTAGACTATTTTTTCAAATCAAAATGTATAATTTTTGTATGCATTGATCGCAATAATCAAAATTTAATAAAAGGTGTTTTGTGCGTACGTTTGTGCATTAGTCGTGGTCACAATATTTAGGTGATTATGGAGAAATGGATAGTAGGGATTTGTTGCAATCGTTGAAGCATGGCATGATTGAAATATTTAAGTGATTATCATTATGTAGTTGGTGATTGAATTTATGTAGCATTGTAGTAGCGATGTGAGGCACAAAATTACAATCGCAAAAGAGCAGAACGAACACATAAGCCATAGCCATATTAAATATGATTTTTATATGTCAAAGTGATCCGTTTTTATATTATATATATTATCGATTATCGAAAGCGTTCATAAACCCGTTTAAATAAGTTAAGTTGTCGTATGATCGGTCAATTGATCGTTCAGTTTGTTCAATTAATTTCATAAATGTTGATGTAGTTATAATGATTATAACGTTGTGAAGCAAATTGGAAATGCGCGAATATTTATTTATTTGGATTAGGATTTTGCAGGATATTCAAGACGCACACAAAAACCATAACCGGGAAGGTAATTTTTGATTTGTTTATTATAACAGCAAAGGAAATAGAAGAAAATAAAAAGGTTTTTATTAGAATTATTTAATGGTTTGTTATTGCTAATATCTACAATATATTTGCTTAAAAATTTTTATGTATCTTTGCATGTGTTAAATTTGTTTAAGCATTTTTAACTTTAATTAAAAAATAATAAAATTAAATTAAAAAATATATGTATAAAAGTGGACTACTTCTAGCGTTTTAAATTTAGTTAAATAGCAACAAAAGGACGAAATGAAATATATGTGTATGAAGTGAATTTTATATTAATAACTAATTTCTTTCCATTTTAAAATAATTTGTAAACTTCTTTAAAAATTCATAAATTATATACTGAATGAATAAAACAAATATTTATATACGGTTTCTTCATGAACTGTATAAAGTTTCTACTATTCAACTTGAAATATATATCGCAATTCTTTTATACCTTAGAATGAAATCGAAATATAATAATAATAAGAATTTAATTTAATAAAAAATTGGTAATATTTTACAAATTATTTAAAAATCTTTACGCTTATCAGTTTCATTAAACATTAATTTATTGGTATTATGTCCTGTATACAAATATGACTTTAGCAGTGAAAGTACTTTCATTCTAAGAAGAAAAAAAATACTTAAAATATATCGTACCTGTTTTGGTAACTATAATACTTGGCATCTCGTGGGATTGTACACAATTGTTTACCATAACAGCACAAAACTTGTGGATTAAAAGTATATTTACGACCGCAACAATATCCTAACGCTTGCATCACAGGATCAATTTCTTGTTCGAAAACCTCAGACAGCTAAAGAAAATTATTATTTAATAAATGTCGTTTTACACAGTCATTTTTAATAAAATTTTCATGCTTTTATTGAATATACACACCTTCGTACAATATCTGTAAACTCGAGATGTTTTACGATTATAAAGCCATGCGTTATCAAACATAAGCCATACGTCATCCACATATTCCCAAGGGTCACTATATTTTCCATTCAACAGATTAGTACGTATAGTACCCAAATCCATTGGTTTCTTAACTATTTCAAAATAGTCAGGTATACCAAGTTGGATTGGGTCTACTGGTGCACGAAATGGCATTGATTCTGGTTCATGACGCACAAGTTTATCAAGTGTAGGCAAAAGAGCTTGCTTTAGTTCTTCTGGGTTAAAAACTGTTATGATAAAATTTGATAAATAAAATAAAAAATAAATTTCTGGAAACTCAATATTTCAGGTTTGATATACTTACCACATTTCTTCTTTTTATCACCGGTATTAGACATAAGTGGTTCCGGAACTACAGGTTTTGTTTCTGTTTTAACTTTTATATCTCCCGTGATAGAATCAATAACAGGTTTTATGTCCTCTTTACTATCTATACCATGGGCATTATTGCCTGATTTCGCTGTTGAACTATTATCGTCTAAATCCATCGGTTCAGGCTTAATTTTTATATCACCATCTTCAGTTTTAATTTCTACTTTAGCTGTTCCATCGTTGTTAACATTTTTACCAACGCCAGCTGAAGATTCTTGTTGAGAATTATCACCGCCTCCTCCACTACTATCTTCCATAAATTCTTTTTTGATATCGTCTTCTTGTTTGATTGAATCTAACTTGCCTTTTGATGCATTGCCCATACCAGTATTAGATTCGTTGTTTGGCGATGGAGGTGTATCATCATTATCTCGAGATGCCGCTACAAGTGCAGCCATTTGAGATGAGAGATTGCTACTGGATGAAGGCCGTGATGTGGGCACACTAATTGAGGTAGTTGATGGTGTAACAGGCACATTATTAGTTCCTTTACCAATAGAAACTTGCTGCTGTTGTGATAATGACGTATTATTTACAGTTGTGGGTGTTGTAATTGCAGATGATACTGTCGTTGTGATTGTAGTTGATACGGTCGCTATTGTTGTAGAGATTGCAGCACTTGCGGATGATGTTGCAATGCCAGCTGCTGAAGACACCGGTGATGCCGCAATCAGTGGCGGAGTATTGCCACGATCACTCATTGGTTGCAAAAGTGATGAAACGGAAGGAGGGTTGTTAGATGGTGTACCAATTGGACCATTTGACAGTAAATTTGGTGAAGGGCTGGGAGCTGCTACCATACCAACTGAACTTCCGATTCCGTTGTTAGTTGGTATCCCAGCACCTGTACTCGTAAGTGATTCAAGACTAGTTGGCGTGGGTGGCATATTACCAATTGTTGTTGCGTTTTGTTTTTGCTGTTGTTGTGACAATGGTGATGTAAAAGTGTTTTGCTGTTGCTGCTGCAATTGGGTTGTATTATTAAAAGGTGATTGTGGCAGTAACATTACGGATTGTTGCTGTTGCTGTTGTTGTTGTTGCTGTTGCTGCTGCTGTTGTATCATGCGTTGTTTAATCAATTCGTTTAATTGTTGACTTTGGGCTCCAGAGCCACCATTTGCATTGATAAATTGTTGTTGTTGTCCGTGTACTGGGCTAGTTAATACATTTGCTACTCCACCGGTATTTGGCTGCCCTTGTATGGCTTGACCAGTAAAAGGAGACAAAACAGGATTTTGGACTACAATATTTTGTTGAGCTGTAGCAATACCCCCAAGTCCACTATTTGGACTAGGTCCTGGTGGCCCAACTAACATATTACCTTGTTGTTGTTGTTGTGGAAATTGTATGCGCTGTTGTTGCATTGCCAACATATTACCTCCAGGAGAATGACTTCGTAGACCACCAATATTTTGGCCAGGTTGACCTGTCATCATACCTAAATTCGTAGGAGTTTGACCGCGTAACTGCTGTTGCATCATGTTAGGAGCATTAAGAGGTAGTCCCTGAGTTGGTCCAGCGCCTGCCATTGGGCTTATCATTGGTCTTATTTGTTGAGGTTGTTGCTGTTGTTGTTGAGCTTGTGGGTGACCCGGTGGCAATTGTGGACCTATTAGTGCTGGATTGCTTGGTCCCGCTCCAGGCACACCAGCATTACCTTGTTGCTGTTGTTGTAATTGCATTTGTTGCTGTTGTAGTTCTTTGCGTTTTAACCTCTTCTCTTCTAACTCCTTTTGAATTTTGTAAATTTTTTCTGCAAGTAGGTGATAATACTCTGACCGACTTTTAGCCATTTCATACATATCTTTTTCTACCTTCTCAGCATATGAAACAAGATTTTGCATACGTTTATCAAGCATGGTAGCTGGATCTGAGGTGGGTAATATCGCTTGCACTAATTTGTGAACTAAATGATTACGTAAATCGGCAGTAACAGATTCGCGCCAATCCTTTTCTTCTGCGCCTTGACCACCAGTGCCTTGTGCAGCGTTTGGACCTGTAGTTAAACTATTCCCTCCTGGAACTTGTGGTCCCAATACACCTGAATTACCAACGGTGCCAGGTGCACTGTTTTGTGGAGCATTTGCCATTGCTGCTGCTGATGCTACAGCCGCCTGCGCTTGCATCTTAAGCTTGGCCATTTCTTGTGGGCCCATCTGTTTATTTGGAGGGCCGTTAGCTCCTCCGCTTATATCGCCTGTGCCGCTAATTTGGTTGTTGAAGTTGGAATTGTTAAATGCATGAACATTAACAGAAAGTGGAATGTTTGATTGTTGCTGAGCTGAATTTGGTTGATTTTGGGGTACATTTGCATTGGGTCCACCTATAAGACCAGCTAATTGAGGATTGTTTCCTTGAGATCCAGTACCTCCACTATTTTGAAGAAGAAGTTGCTGATGTTGTGTATTTTGTTGTAAACCGTCTGGACCAGTTCCACTTCCAATAAGTATACTATTGCCCATTACGTTTGCATTCGGACCGTTGTTATTGCCTCCACCTACAGAACCACCTGGCCCGCTCATGGGTGATGGAACTACACGCATAGATGGTCCACCAGGCATTCTTATGCCATGTAATTGTTGCTGTGCATTACTTGCATTATTTTGTAAAATAGTTGTTGGTCCCGCAGTTGATACTGCACCCTGCATACCCATGCCATCAAAACGACGTATATCTTGGTTAGGATTCTGTGCGTTCTGTTGTTGCAATTGTGATATATCTGTATTTGGTTTTATCCCTAATTGCGAATTAGCACCTGAATTCATTACAGCTGATGCTCCTGCATTGGATACAACATTTGGTCCACCAGTAGAGCTTTGTTGTTGTTGAACTGAATTTTGAGGCACGCCAGCAGTTTGTTGTGCAGGATTATTACCGGTTTGTTGCTTATCATTTTGTTGTTGCTGTTGTTGATTTTGATTTGCAGCATTTGCACCGCCAGGATTAGTTTGGAAGCCATGATTTTGTCGAAATGGATAACAAATTATACAATCAGAACGCTGACAAGTCTTGTAATGTAATAATATCTGTCTCGACGAAGAGCAGTGCTGGACAGTACAGTCTTTACTTTGTTTACAAGTCGCCATATGTGCCAAAACATCTTGCATTGGTTTACAATATGGGACGGAACATTTTTCCCGATTTGGATTTTGACTTTCTCTTCGATTACATTTATGCGCATGTAAAAGTAACATTAGTTGTTGCTGTATTTGTTTCTTCCTTTCATCAGATAAATTCGGTACTCCACCACCACTTCCACCAGTGTTTGAGCCTCCACCTTGCTGTGATGTGCCTGGTTGTTGTTGTTGCGGTTGTGTTTGCTGTTGTTGTTGGTGTAACATTTGATTTTGTTGTGGACCTATTGCTCCCGGTTGTGTGTTTCTTGGCCCAATGGGATTGTTCATAACTCCAGTTGAATTTTGCTGATTTGGATTCATTTGAGCATTATTTAACTGTTGCTGCTGTTGTGGTTGTGGTCCGACAACACTGCCAACTATATTACCACCAGTACCATCATTACCAACGCCTCCTAAACCTAAGGGCACTCCTGTTCTATTTCCTTGTTGCATCGCCGCTGTCATATTTGGAGGAACTCCACCACGTTGTGCCATTTGTTGTGCTAACAACTGTTGTTGTGGATTATTTGTATTAACATTAATGCCTCCTTGTGGTCCTCCAGGGCCACCATAATTTCCAACGTTGCCAACATTGACTCCACCACCATAAGGTCCGTTCGGTCCAACTCCACCGCTCACCATGTTGTTCATTTGACCAGGACCAAGTGCCAAATTACGTTGTTGTTGGTTTTGAGTCTCTAACATGTTAAGCTTATTGATTTGAATATTAGGATTTTGCATGCGAGGGCCTCCACCAACACCAGTGGGTCCACCAGGACCCATTAAATGTGGATTTGGTCCGCGTAACATGTGTTGCTGTTGCTGTGCAACAATTCTACTCATAATTGGGCCATTTTGCATACTTTGAGGATGTCCAGGGCCACCTAGATGCATGCCTTGATTTTGTCCACCTACGCCTGGACCAATGTTTCCCACAGGTCCGACACCTCCAGGTCCAGCATTTAACATACCACCTGGACCACTGCCGATTTGTTGCTTAATTGTATTGAGACCACTACCTATGCCACCCATGTTACTGTTGGTGATAACCATATTTCCTAGATTATTGCTTTGAGCAATTGTATTCATTCCTTTAAATGTTCATTAATAATAGTGGTTGAAAAAAAAACAAAAAAAAAACGATAAATTAATACTTTACATTTTAGACAAAAAATAACTATAATCTAAAATTGAAAATTTATTTAACATATCAAAAACTCTAGACGTTGTCTTAGACGTTATGAACACAATTATTTAAAGTACAAAAACTTTAATATATTTAATAAATGTTTTGTTACTCTTCTTTTGGTTTCTTATTTATGTTTTTTTAACTTACATATATAACTTTGAGTATATCTTCTTGCAAAATTGGTTTATCTCATATTTTGATAAATAAATTGAAACGTTTTGTATTTCTGAACAATTCTTCGTGTTAAATACCTTGTTTACATTAATATGATATTTGATCTGATACTTGATTACTTCGTATTTTTTTGTCATAAAACAATAGCTGTTTATGTATACATTGGGTTTAATAGTTAAAAGATAGTATATAAGTGAAATAATTGTTTACATACCAGCCATAGAATTCATTCCTTGCGTTCCGTTATTAGAAATTGACATTGGCATTGAGTTTACCATGCCCATTTGACCACCAGTTACTTGCATTCCGCCAGCATTCGGTGATTGTAAGTTTGGCGATTTGCTACCAAGTTGATTTAAACCTGCACCACCCATAGGATTACCAACCATATTAGGATTTTTCTTGCCCTAAAATAAACAACATGTTATAGAACGAATATGAATATGAATATACAATATTCAAAGGTGTTTTTTTCTATGAAAAACTAACTTGTTGCTGCAGTAAATGTTGTAGGTGATGATGTTGCATTTGCCGAAGGGAGTTATTTCCACCACCAACTTGATTGCCTGCTGTGCCATTAGCATCATCACCAGCACCATTCATTTGTGGTCCACCAGGACCTTGCACTGTAGGATTATTAGGTCCGCCAACTACATTAATGCCTAGGCCAGATCCAGGGCCGCCACCTGGACCTCCACCCCCAAGTTGATCAGACCAATTACTATTTGTAGATACCAGTTCATCGGGTAAATTATCCTCCAATACAGAATAATAATCAGCTAAAAGTAGAGATTAACAAATCTTATTACATCTAGTTCGAACGAATTCTAACACATATATATATATATAATAACTAAGAGTAAAATATAAATTTGTAAGATTTTATTATGTGATGTAAGTTAAATATATCTATATATTTAGGCCGTGTGTGAGTTCAAGTAAATTGAGATAAAATAAGTTTAAATTTCCTAGAGATTTTTGCTCTGCACTAACGTAAATATTTATTTATTTGCTTATTGCATTTATTTATTATTTTTGGTAATTTATTAAACATCTTATAAAATTTACACAATGGTAATACCTAATTTTTAACTAATTTACCCTACTCGAAATGCTGGTTCCCTGCCATACCGACAAAATTTACTATTTGCCTCAATTTACCATCAATTTACTTGAACTCGCACACCGCCTTAATAATAACATATCAATATAAGATTTTATTATGTAATATGAGTTATGTAAATGTATCTAGAACTTTATGTTTCATTAAATACATAGCATAATTGTTCAGTTTTATATTTTTGAGTTAAATAAAGAAATTGAATATGCATTTATTGAAAGATATGTCGGTGAAATGATAATGATATCTCATTATCAATATGAACATATGGTACATTGTAAACTGATTGAAGTTATATTTGAAAAGCAAAAACTGTTATTACAAAATAATCCTTAGATTATTAAAATTATTTCGCATACACATTTAAAATTTTAAAAACTTATACACTATAAGAAAAGAGAAGACTTACTGGGATCTATTTTCACCCGCTTCTGTGGCGGTTCATCCATGTGATCCGCCATCATTTACTTGCCGTAATAAATTTATTTTGTCGTTTGATTGAAGAAAACTTAATGGATTCTTATTGATTATATTTTCGTAGTTATATTGTCTTTAAAGTAAACAAATTATCACTTAATAAATTTTTATGAATAGTCTATTATTGATATATATATATATATATTATATATATATATATTTAACATTAAGAGTTTTTAGCATAACTGGCGAAAGAGCACAGGAACTGAAGTTTTGTTTATGATGTTTTTAATGATAGACTCGTCGTCGTTGGGTGGTTTATTTTTCTTAATATTATTTTTATTATTTAAGAGCAAGTGTAACACAACCCTGCTGCTGCTATTTAAGATGCAGAAGCAGGCTATGTTTTCCAAGGCTTGAGACGAAAACGTGCCGGCTGCAGCAATAGATTTCAGTGACTTTTTCGTTGCCTTTCTTGTTCGAGCTGTTTCCAAAGTTTCCCGGTATAAAGCGTTTTTGCAAAATACGCTTGAGTGCATTTTGTGTCAAAAGACTATTCGGCCGATAAAAATGTCGGCTTGGTATTTTTTGTCTCTTCTCTACAGTACGTAGTAAGTCGTAGCCAGTTTTGCTGTTTTTGTTTATATCGAGGCCGTAGCATCTGTTCTGTTGTTGACACAAATTTACTTTGATTTCGAGATAGGTCCGTTTAAATTATATTTGGCAGTTGCTAATATTTTTATATTAGAACAATTTTTAATAAAGAAATTTATACAATTCATTTTAGTTTAATATTATTTTTTCCGTCTTTTTTGCATTTAAACAGTTTATTTATTATAGTTTGTAATTGCACGTAACTATTAAAAAAAAAAAATAAATCATGAAAATTATAAACAATTAGCATTAACAAAAGATTTGTAAATATTTTATTAAATTTATAACAATATACCGATGATGATATAAATTTATTTCGTTGATTTTTAATTTTATTTTTTTTAACTTATTTTAAGACCACATATAAACGTAAAATAAGATTATTAATTATTTTGGTTTTTATTTTTAATATTTATGTTATTTGCGCGCTCAATGTGAAAATATATTTTTTGTTCAGTTCTAAACACCAATGCAATTTTTACATAAAAATAAAAAAAATTTCTCTAAAATAACTAATGCGCGAATAGCATATATGCATAAAATGAAGCACTATTCGTTGGCATTTTCTTTCTTTGATTTCTGATCAAAAACAACTCGCTGTTTTATACCAATACATTTGCAGACATCACCGCCAACGAGTGCGAGCAGCATTGGAAAAAGAAAGAAAAACAGACTATTTTTTGTAGTTTTCACGTCGTATTGAAAATTTCTATTTGCCAAAAAATTTTGTTTTTAACTTTTTCACACACTTTAAATTATTTTTAAAATTTTTTTAACAAAAATATATTATTTTTTAATTTTAATTTAAAAACACAATTATATTGAAATTTTTTTAACCGCACATTTTACAATATAACTTTATCAACAGGCAGATATTTCGAATTCAAATTTATAACTTCATAAAATTTTTACCGTATTTACAATTTTTTTTTTTTTTATTATTTACTAAATTTACAGAATTAAATTTTTTTTGCAACAATAAAACAAAATCCGATTTCATTCTTCGCTTATAAATCAGGAACCAACTGATTTAGCAACAGAACTAGATAGACTGAAATTGAAAGAGTATGACAATACGCTCAGAGTCGGTGAAAAAGCGAACAGTGTTGCTGCTTTAATAATTAAACCACTTGCGGGAATAAATTTTTGTAGGAGATTTTATTCAAATGTTAAAAATTTACTTCGAAATTCTTTATATAATTTATTATGTGATTTTATTTTGCAAATGGAAATATTAAAACAAAACGTAAACACAATTTTTTTTTTTGTTGTATCAAAAGTCAATTTCATATATTCACATATTGTTTACACATATTTTATACTCAACAAGAGTTGTATTTAGTAGATATAAAGAATTTCATAAGAAAATCTAATGTCAGATTGTACAATAAAAAGAATTTCGTTAATTATTTTATCCACTATCTTTTCTTATAGATATTATATCGACATAATTTATACTTTAATTAGGGTATTTATTTAATGATTATTTCACATATTGTGCAAAATTGAAAAAATTCCCTTTTTCAAATAAGGTGTGAAAAATGTGAACTTAACAACACTCTTTATTCAAAGCAAGTGTAGAAAAAAATTCGTACACACATCGTACGAGCTCGGCAAACACATACATATACGCTCTCAAAGTAACGAGTGATTCGCTGTAGCTGAAATAGCTTTCCCTTTCTAACAAACGCTTCGCTTTTCAGTTGCCAACTTTATTTTTATGCTTTCTCACTTTTAATTTATAGAAATTTGACATAAATTTTTTCTCTCCATTATTCGCGGCACACGCACACATTTAATCGAATCATATACGTATATTCCCGAATCGGTGGAACTCGCCCGTCGTATGGAAAAAATTTCTATCAAATTTAAGTAGCGAATGAAGAGAAAATATTTTTCAATTTTTAAAATAAAAAATTCACTATTTTAAAAAATTACATTTATTGTATTTTTAACAAAACATTTTTAGCTTTTTATTTAAAGCAAGTTGCGCCAAGTATTTTTTATTTAATCCATATTTTATTAACGCTTGAATTCTATTTTTTCGTTGTTAATCTAAAGCCAAACTGACTGAGACTATCTTCTGAACACACTGAACGAGACTCATTCAAGTTATATTTCTTCCAACGACAAACACAAAATGGCGGACACCACAAACGAATTAGTACGTATCAAGAAAAGTAGAATTTGAGAATAGTTTATTGCGTTACAGCATATAGTGTATCTTGTCACACTAATATAACACGTATAAGGTTGTTATGACTAACGCAGTCTTTCAAAGAGCATTGTAAAATATTATGAGAGCATTATTTTGGTATTAATAAAGTAATTTTCCGCTAGAGGGATTTGCATGTGAAAAAATATATACATAAATTTAAAATTTTTCACAATAAACAATACTTTTAATTTGGTTTTATTTAATATAAATGTTCAAAAACAATAAAATTAATTTACAATTGAATCTATAACAATAATTTATAAATTACATGCACATATATATAATTTCACAATTATGTTTTTAAAATATTGAAAATGGAAAACGCTATCATATTTCAAAACCTTATTTTTACAGCATAGATTAAAACCATTTAGAATTATAATGAATACGTTTTACTAATGATTACTGCTTGGGCAATTTTTTATACTGAAAAACTATTATGTTAGTTATATAAAATTTTTAATGAAATTAATCAAAATAATTTGTAACTAGCAATATAACAAATTATTGATTAAGATTTTTTTATACCGAATGAGCTGACTAGTATAATTAATTTTCTTGGTATATATGTGAGTATTTCGAATAGTATTTTCTTCACTAGTCTCATGTGATACTAAGGCAGAGTAGTAACGGATGTATGCGAAGGATGAATGAATGAAATTCATTTTTATTATACAGTTGGTTGTTGGTCAAGTTGAATCAAAAATATTATTTGATGGCTATTCATAATAATTTTTGTTGGTAAAATTTTTGTTTGGTTTGCAATTAAGCATAATGTAATAATTATGAGCTATCAAGTTCAATACATTGCGATACAAAATAAATTTTTTTTTATTTCATTTAACAATATGTCTTTATTGAATTGCTTAAAATTAAAGTCTAACAATAAGTTTTAGAATCTTAAAGACTAATAACATTACATTACAAATTATTTTATATAAACATACTATAATGAAATATATAATGATATGTAAATTATTTCAATGGGCCTCTGAATAAGTAGCCAGGGTTTATTATCAGATATCACGGCGTATTAGTTGAATTAATCGGGATGATCTTCAGGCAAAGCAGGATGGCGGGTCTATCATTCCGTTTCAGTCTAGATGAAGTTGTCATATTAATAAGAGGTCTAGCCAGCGGATTTATATGGTTTACAAGATTTGAAACATGTTTTTGCCTATTTCTCACAAACTTGACTTTAACCAGCGGAACTCTCAAATCGAAATGTATGCTTTAATTTCTGATATACCAGGGTGCGCCAGTTATCATTCTTAGAATCTTTGCTTGAGCTCTTTGAGGGATATATAGCCATAAAGCTATAAGCCATACATCCAGATTGGTTGACTTGGTTGTATAACAAGACTTTGTACTCTAAACATAAGAGAAACTGATGCCCGATTAGCCAGTGAAAGGTTATAGCCTTGAGCTTCATTTGAGTCTTTTTTGTTTCAATATGTTTCCGCCAAAAGTTAAGCGTTCGTCAAGGTGAATACCAAGGTACGTCACTGTTTCTGTTTGCAGAACTACGATTCCGTTGAGAGTGATAGTTGGTGAGGAGGATATGTTAAGAGAACATGTTATATGACGACATTTTTGTTCATTGACTTTAATTCGCCATAGTGATAATCATCTTTCTACGAATCACAAATGATTTTGCAGTTGACTGGAAGCGATTGTGGCATTTTTATGTCGGCACAAGATAGCTGTATCGTCAGCAAATGATATAAATAAATGACAATATTGTCATTTAAGAATATATACTAATTTTCGTAATATAATATATAATAGTAACATTAGTTTCAGATAATATAACTACATATTTAAGTTTATTATATGGATGCCGAGTAAATCAGTAAAGCAGTTTTGTCTAATTTTTAAATCTTTCCGTTATTGATATAATTAATGTAGGTAACGGGTAGTAAGGAGGGCTAGTCCTTCATAGAGTTGCATTGTTAGAGATAAAGATGTTAGAAAAAAAGAAAAAGTAAACAAACAGGTTATAAAAAAACACAATTTCCATAGTTCTGAGAGGACTATGGCTCCGGAATCCACTAGCATCGACGAACTAGTGCAGCTAACAGTTCTCGTCGGAGTGTCATTATTTGCAGTAAAGGTAAATTAAGTAGCACTAACTAGGAATAGAAGAAGAACCCTCAACATAAAACCAACAATAAACACAAAAGATGACAATATAAAAAAGATAATTCTTTTTTTGATTTTACGAATACATACGTATTTTTAGATCTGTAATGTATTAATATTCAAAAAATAACTTAAGAATTATTACGGTATTATTTATCGGTCACTGTAGGTTGAATAATCATCTATCGAAGTTAGGAATTCAATCCAACTCAGACTGCAGATACTGTAGAGAAGAGAGACACTTTACATATCATGTGCTTGGGGAGTGGTGTCCGGCATTGATACACAAGCGGAAGAAACACCTAGGAGGGTATTTAATGGATCATATGGATTCAAGACTAAAAGAAATCGGACTTGCAGAAACACTCTAATCCGACTAAGGGGCACAAAAGATATTTTAGGTCGCAGTGCACGATCTCTTATTTAATAAAATAATAATAATAATGTATTCATATTAAATAATTTATTGTAATCAATATAAACCTTAATATATATATTTATAAATTTTTATGTATAATATATATCATATTAAGAACTTTTAACTAATATTGTGTATTGCTAACATGAAAGCAAAATTATTTTTCACACAAAAGTCTTATAACATAGATGAAATTATAAATAAAAAGTCTGGGAATGTATTTTATGTAAATAATAAAGCGGTGTTTTCTATTATCAGATTTATATGCTTACATAAATATTAATTAAATTCAGTATTTTAAAATAATAAACAAAATATTGCTTTCAATCTTGTATACTAATAAATATTGAGTTTCATGTAAACCGTTTAGATAAGATTCTCTCACGATTGGATATATTGGATGAATGTTTCGATACAATTTATAAAAAAATACCATAAATAAAAAGACAGAAATTTGCTTAAAGTCAGCAATAAAAAGAATCAAATATAAACAAACTTTTAATAAAAAATCCATAACATCATCTACTCTGAAGTAATAAAAATGAAAATAATTTTAAGTTCAAATGAAATAAATCAGAATCATCAAAACCTGAACTAAATTAATAATTATTTATTAATTATATTATAGAAATTTTGATATAACTTTGTTTCTATTTTTTACTTATATTTTTTATTAATGTTATATGAAATTTAGTTTGAAATAATAATAAATAACCCTTGAATAAACTTGATATTTACTTACATTTATATTTATGCGTACACGCATCCATACCACACGAAAAGAATATTTCCAATTGCAGCAATGAAGAGGCAGAAAAAAAATTTTAACAGAAGTACTTAAACCAGATATTGAATATTGGATATTCTTTATATTTCAATAAAATACGAATAAAAAAATTATAGTCCATTATAGTCTATATAAAGCTACAACTGATTTTGATAAATTTCAACCTTTGGAGTTACTTTTTCCACTAAAATTATAGTCTACCTATAAAGCAACAACTAATTTTGATAAATTTCAACCTTTTGGGTAACTTTTTTTCACTACTCTATATATTTATTAATATACCTTAGCCCTAGGGGTTTTGAACTTTTAAGTTGCGAATTTTCACATGAAATATATCATACTATATATCATACTTATACTATATACTACACATTTTTTTTTGCGGCAAGGAGGAGTGAATCCGGCACCCCGAAATGTCAGTGCCCTAATCGCATGGGCTAAACCAATCCCCCTCATACTTAGAGACCCCAGGACTACGTTAGTATTACTTCGAGGTAGGGTCCCCTATTAGTCATTTAAGACTTCCATCGGTGTGCCCTTCATCTTGGTGTGATACATTTGCTTACTCCAGCTGTCTTCTGTGAAGGTCTACTTTCTTTAATCTCAGAATGTGTGGCCCGACTACCACTCCTGATCCGAATTGGAATGTCATCAGATTGCTTTTCGTTTTAGATTAGTTTGCGTCCAGATCTTTCTTCTTTCCTCTTAGCACATATCCGATGAATTGTGTGATTTTGTTAAAATTTTCTACTCGTTTTGTCAGTTTACACTACACATAGTAGTAAATAGTATACTACTATAGTATTATATACATATAGTACTCTATACAACTGCATATACTCTACTAATAATCATATACTAATTTAATAATAATCAACTTGAAAATTTCCAAAAAGTTTCGTTACACGGGAAATTACGATGAGAAAAATCTTTGATGCAGAATTCATAATCATCGAAACTTAGATGTTCTGGCGAGGTTTCTGTATTTAAAGAGCATTGTTAAATTGCAGTAGGCATTGTTGGATTTAATCAGCCATCAGCGTATTTTATCACTGATGTTATTATTAGTTGCTACAATTGAATGAAGGTAATTGAAGAACTGCTCTAATTCAAACTCCCAACTTGTCTGTATATAAAGGCAGTAACCTATTTTGGTTTCCTTTTATTATTGCGGAGCTCCATTCTTTGTACCACCTACTCTATCGGTGCGATGGAATATTGTATAACTGATTGGAATATCCCATCACCTCTTGTTGAAATATCATAGACTTGAATTGCTTTCTCTAGGGATAATGGATAAATTAAATTCATATCATGAAATAAACTTATGTACTCATGTATGCTGTCGATGCTCGATTTTGATCGTACCTTACTATTTCAATTGTTTGATCAGCTGGAGATGTTCTCACTGCATTGGGATAAAACCAAAAATTAAAAAGGATTGGGAAGGTATTTGGTGCAAAATAGCAAATTGAATATGGATATCATTTAAGAAATATTAATAATAATAATTTCAATAATAATTTTTCATGAGAAACTTCTGTATAAACATGTTTAATATTATGTTGAGCCTTTTTCGAGTTCGTACATTTGGGCACTTTTACTCTTTGATAGCTGGGGGGTTTCTGCAGAGTCCCGCTCTTCTCACTGACTAATTTGTGTATTCCTCATAAACTTCGTGATTATTCAATGACTGATCAAAGATTTGCGTACCAACCTGTGGGGTTAGTGATTACTCTGAGATTAGATAATGCTAAGTAGGGAAGCCAGTCAGTTTTTGCATATACCACAAAATATGTTCAATGCTGAAGATATATAAAAGATAGGAGGATGTACTTTTATACTCTAATTTTACTGATATTACATTAACTCTTATTAAAATCTTAATTCTTTTCCCATTTTTTTCTCTTGATAGTATTAGAAGATCTGTCAAGTATCTGTCATATCCTAATTGCTGTAAGGACATTAAAAACAATTTTAACAACAACGACTAATACCGATGGCGGAAGATGATGCAACATGTTTTCATGTAGATCAAATAAGTTTGAGTTTTGGTTTTTTTTTGTTTAAAAATTTTATAAATTTTAATATTTTTGTTAACATTATCAAAACAAAAACATAATCATTTTAAAATTTGATGAATTTAGAATTTGTATCTTCAAACAATGGCATAAGATTTTTCAATCTTGTCCTTGTCCTTGAGAAGTAAAATCATATTGAATATTTAATCATCTACAATTTATATACTTTTAATTATAATAAAAATTAAAATCTTTAAAAATCTTACCTTTAATTTTAATTTTTTTCACCATAAATCCATTTGGATCTCCTGACACATGATAAAAGTCTTTCGCTGTCATACCAGTGCCAAACTTTGTGATCACAAGAACGAGAGTCTTCCTGGGTATAGAGTAGTTGTTTTTCAAAATAATACATTCATAATTTACTACTGCGTCAGTCTCTTCTCCAAAACCACCCATTAAAGTGATGCCCACTTTATTGCAAACGATTTGATTTGCTGGGTCTGCAATACCAGGTCGTGCTCTAGCTCCGATGGAAGGAGAAACATTAAGCATAAATTTCTTAATTTTGTTAACAGACAGATGACAATACAAGTTTTCATATAATTCCATATCGTCTTGTCTTTTAAAAACTTTTATAGTATACAAATCTTCGCAGATTTTATCGTTCAACACCAACGACTGGAAGCAATTGTTTTCGACTTGAACGTCAGTAATTTCGTATATCTTATTCTTGAACACAAAAGCCGGCATTTCAGAAATTTGTAACTCTTCGCTATCAGTGGAATATTCCACAAATGAGTTGCCAAAGTCAGAATCGCCAGAGTAGTCAGTAGAGTGGTCGGAGAGGCCAGAGTAGTCAGAAAAGCGGTCGGAGAGACCAGAGTAGAGGTCAGACTGGTCAGAGAGGTGAGGTAGGTATGAATCCTCCAATAGATCGCAGTGTTCAGATTGTTCTGACTCCTCACTCTCAGTATCATACAATTGGTGTAAATTGCGAAATTGATCTGAAAAGAATAAAAACGTAAATAGTAAATAGTAACACAGTAAAATCGTAGGATTACTAAATATACATGTATGTAAAGATTGAACTGTAATTTATACGGTATAAGTATATAATATGTATATACAGAGTGCTTCCCTTCTGATATGGATATGATATAATATTTTTAATATTATGTACATACTTATTTAAATGAGTAGAACAACTATAGGTATCTAAATATATACATAGTGCGTTTAGATTAAAAAGCAGTTAGCAGGATCATAATGTATTAGGAGGGAGGCATGTAATAAGAGGGTAAGACTTTTATTGGAATCATGGCTTTGCATAAACATTTATGCGATATGGTGAAGTGAAATGTACACAACCGGATTTTTATTCGATGAATACGAAATGAACGCTATTCGATGTATTTTTCTTATATTTTTAACAGTAGACATCCATTTTTTAGTAGTGTACTGATTCTTCGTAAAATGTGTTTTCAAATCAAATTTAACTCAGAACAACACCATTTTTACAAATACTTAAGGTAGTACGATCAAAAATTTTTTTTAAATTATTTGGACATTAAAAATTGTCTAATTAATCTGAGCAAGGCAAGTATTTTTTAGAAGGATTGGATGATTAATATGATTATTCATGAGTCATTTATTAGGATGATTGAATGATTAACAACGGACGATTGAGGACGAACGATTGGATGTTTCCACGATTACATTTATAGATCGTAGTGAGACTCATAGCCTCTATCCGGGGTCATGAAAGGCGTCTCAATAATAAATAAATGAAACTCTCAGACTATTAGCGATAGTACGGTAACTGAAAGTAACGTTACTTATAAATGAATGGATTGACATTTATTACATGACGTAGTAAAGGTTTTCATAACCAACTTCAGAATAAAACAAAAGTAAACGGAATTAATTCGATGTATTGTATTTTAATATATCGATTATAAAGTGTGGGAAGCATTTTTATATATAGCTTTTTGAAAGGTAGAAATATTTTAATGAGAAAGTTTGCAAATTTAAATATTTTATTAAAATATAAAAATGATTAATGATTTGTTTGTAAAAAAATGTTTTTCAGTAAAACATATGTTATGTTTTATAGCATTATAGAGTTGTTACCTCTTTTTACATTTAATGTTGGAGTTCCTCAGGTTACCAAAAAGAAAAATGTAAGTGAGCTTTCTTAAGAAAGAGGAAACTATCCGGGCTACAGTAGCAACATTCAACAACATTTAACTATTCACTAATCAGTGGTTTTTTGTAGCAGTGGGTATTAAGAGTTTAGTTAAGCAATTATCCAAAATCAGGTAGAAAAATCAGGTTTAAGACATTTAAACCCAAATTAAGCGCATTAAATATGCAATTTAATAATTTTACAAACAATGAAGAATGCTCAGCAATATTGGTCAGTTTATACAGGATATAGTCATTAGATTTCATTTATTTCGATAAGTGTTTAAATTTAGTTTTTTAGAAGTAAAATATTAAATTTTGTTTTTCTAGTTCCATAACTAATTTATTATTAAACGTCAACCACACATATAAATGGACATGGATACATCGATTCAATTTATTTATATATCTCCTTCACTAAGTTATAAAAACATACTGACACAACTAATTACAAATATTCCATGTATTGAAACCGCATTAAAGCAATCAATAAATAAAAACAAATGAAATCGTACACTAATTCATATAAAGGTGCGATTACCTGCGAATATTCGTGGTAAATGTTACCTCAAGACATTCGAGATGAACGCACCCAAAGGAACGTTCACCTAGCTGTAAATGTTTAATTTCCATATTTAAAGTACTAAAATTATTAGTTTCAAAGTTTTTAGAAATCAATGAAAATTGATATTAAAAAATTATAAAATTTTTGTCATATTTAATACTAAATTGTTCTTTTTATTATATTATAGAGCTTCTTATTTCGTTTATTCCGCTAAATTATGTAATAACTTTTATCTTTATGTGCTGCAATCAGATTATATATAAATTCATACGTCATATATTGTTATATATAATATATGATTAGAGAAAATCAAACTTTTAATTAATAGGTTGAACACTGATTGCTCTGATTCGTAACAATATATATATCAGACTATACGCTTAAATAACAATCCGATAAAATCAAGTATTTAATGCGCTTAATATAATAATCCGATAAGAGTGTCTTTAATACGTTTAATATGGCAATCAGATAAGATCAAATCCACTAATTGGATTTCATCACTCTGGTTTTATGGAATACTCAATCTGGTAAAAGGTTACTGTTACAGTTGTGAGTCAGAGGAGGAACAAGATAATGTACTGTAAAGTACTGTGTATGTAACTATATAATGTATATCTATCTAAAAATTTAAATCCAGCTAACTTGCAATAAAATATTTTTATGATAACACAATAAGACTTGCTCTTGTAGTCCAAGTGTACTCGTGTTCTGTAACAAATAACAACTATGTACTTATGAAAAATTCAATATATACCATATATATAAATCGAATATATGTAATAGACAGTTCTACCAGTACTTTATAGATTCATGTCTGTTATTTCCGATGTCAATGGACGATTGATATCTATTTCCTTGAAGAGAATGGTTAAATTTAGAGAACCTTAACTAAACTAGGTTAACTCATATTTTTAATACTGATGATAATAATGGAAATATTAACCTCTACTGGTAAGGGATCTAGGTGGTACTTGAACAATCAAACTAAGTATTACATTTACATTGGAAGTATTCACATTGGAAGTGTGACAACAGCCTTTTTATTAGAAGATTGTGTTATACTGAAATTGCTTGCTGGAATATCGAAAAACTTATTCAGCATGGATTGTTCCGGAAAGTACAGCGCTATCTGCTTTAACAATAAAGTTAAATTCAATACTCTTGTTAACTCCTTAAGTTCTTAAAAAATGATCAGTAAATATATAATTAAGTTAAACAGCGTTGCAAAATGCAATAAATCACATCGTAATAAATTGCAATAAATTGCTTAAAGATTGACCAATTAAGTCTCGGCTATGACACATATAGGCGCAAAATCAATTTTCGTCGTTAGATCTGCAAAATACCTTCGTTGTGGCATTCATTTTATATGCTCTTTCCACTGGTAAAATTACTCATACAATAAAAGAGAAGGTTCCTCAAAATACTATTCGAATTATTACAGAGCGCAACACCGATGGGCACTGCATACGATAACCCAATTATGTGTCGAGGCTGTGGATAGCATAGCGCATTTTGTCGGTTATTACTCAGCTTTTGCAAGAATTAATTTGAGATTGTTGTGTAATAATGTTCTAATCATAACCAATGTTCTTATTCTCTTTCTCTTTCTCTTATTCTCTTATTTTTTAGATTCAGTTAATAAACCAAGAAACTTAATTTGCATTGTATTGTATGTGTAAGATGTATGAAGTACAGCAACCAAGAGATATATTGTACTGCTCTCTACAGGCGTTAAGTTGATCCTATAAAATGTTATTAAGTATCACTGGCTTTCAGAAACTTGAGTTAAAGTATTCTATTCTAGTTTGGGTGCTTGAATTTCCTTCTGTGTTCCGGCATAATGGTCTACTGATTAAGTGCCTTGGTTTTACCTTGTTCTTAACTTAAATACTCTTAATATGTAACTCACAGATGCAGGGTTCATTAAAAACACTGGTCTGTTTCCCCTCATTTAAAGAAGACCAAGAAAAATGCAGTATGTGGAATGAGTTATAAAAATTTTTAACTACGTCGATTTCAAACCAAAATTATTGACAGTTCATATAATTTTATTGTAGACCAATAAACATATTTCAGAAAAGGATTATGAATGATTATTTGATTGACAATATTTTATAATAAAAACAGTAAACTTACCATATATAAGCGAAGCTTCATAAGCCTTCTTATAGTTTTCAATAAGATCGTTACAGATATATAAGTAATCTCGGATATTTTTTTCTTTATTTCCGCTCTCCTCACTCACATCGAACATATTTTCATTATTTCTTACGTATTGTATAGTTGTGCCAGTATCAGTCATGCAGAACACAATTTTAGTTTTTTTCTCATAACCAACAATATCGCGATAAAAACATTGGTACTTAGTTGGCATAAAATGTTTAAGCGGTCCAGATGCATGTAACAGTTTCATATCAACTATATAATTTATGTTTTTAATATTAAAGTCGGGCACACAATCATAGTCAGTATTGATGGAATTAAGTTGCAACTTTTCAGCCAAATCCTTATGAAAATCCCTGAAGTTTATAATGGAGTCCTCAATTACAACATTCTCGATTTCATATTCAAAAAGTATGCCCCCATCGTTCTTCCACAAATCGTTTTCGGTATTACAGAAAACCACAGCAGTATTGTTTTCCGGAAACCCACAAGCGTAATTGTAATAAGTACCTCTCATCCTTTTCTTCATGACATTCTTAAAATTCTTCTTGAACTTATACATTTTGGCTATAAAGAAAGAAAAACCTTTTTTATAATTATCCAAGTATAATAAGAAAATATTCTCAACATCAATTACTAAAGTATCCAAGATACATATGAAAAATGTCGTACTATTTACATATAAATTGTGCTATTATTAAATTCACATGAATTAGTAAGTATTTTTCACTTCACCTATGCAACATATTCAATTTGGTGGATATATGTATATCTGGTGGATATTATTTACATATATCAAGTATCAAAACCAAAAGAACACAACAGTTTTAGAACAAAAGTGCTATCCAACATCACCAAAAATGTCAGAAGAAACCATTTGAGCGCAAACATTTTTGAAGTTTGACTCTATATTAACATTTTTTTTCCTACAAACAAGAATGTACTTGCCGTGTGCTAGTTCGAGTAAATTGAAATTTCCTAGGGATTTGTTGCACTGCACTTAAGGATATTTAGGACGTGTGCTGTGCGAGTTAGGCTAAGTTGATGCTAAACTAAATGGGAGATTTTTTGGGATTTTTTGCACTGCACACATTTAGCCATTTATCAACACGTATCGACACATCACTACATTATCGGCACAACTTAGTATTTCCCTCATTTAGAACGCAACTTAGCCTAACTCGCACACGACCTTAGTTTAGTTTTTGGTTAAAGAATTTCAAATTTATTTATTAAATATCTTTTAAAATTTTCACAATATTATGTTGAGGCTAGTTGAGTCAGTGCACCTGACCACTTTTACTCTCTATTAACAGCGAGGTTTCTTCAAAACCCCTCTTTGGGCCTTGAGTGGATTTTTGTTTATCACTTCATCAGACTAAGCAATAATTGACCTCAGATCTGCATACCTCCCCGAGTAGCCTGTAACCATTCTGAGATTTGGTTACGCGGTGTTGGTAAGTCTGTCAGATTTCGCAAATAATTTCAGGGCTCTATCCTTTATGTATTTTTTGATGGGATCAATCTTGATGTCCCTGAGGATGTCATTCGTCCTAATGTACCATGGAACTTTGAAAAGTCTTCTCAGAGCCTGGCTTTGTGCTATTTGTAGCTGGTGAATAGTAGTGTTTGAAGCTTTGCTAAACGTTACACAACCATATAGAAGTGACGGACGAAGTATTTGGTTATATATCAGTTTTCTGTTTACAATGGTAACACCTAATTTACCTAATTTTTTTTTTAATTCACCCTACTCGAAATTCTGGTAAATACCAACATTTACATTTAAGTAAGTGATAATTACTTAAACATTAATGAAATGTGTAAACTTAAAAACCTAAAGATAAAGTTTTAAATACCGAGTATCGAGGGTCTACAAATACTTATATAAAACTCCATGCTAAATTTTTAAAATCATTTCTAAACTAATATATGAAATGATTTTATATTTCTAGATACATTTTGAAAGATATATTTTAAAGGACCATACGAGTAACTATTCGTGTTGATATATAATAGTGTTTTTTAACATCACTGTGTTTTTAAAATAAAAAGAAAAATTAGTTTGAAAATAGTTAAAAAATTTTAATTGAAAACTTAAGTTAACTAATATTTCGATTATTTGTAAAGGATGCGCAGTAATAGTACATTCACACTGTCTCATTTAGGCGGTTTTGCTTATTATAGCGACTAATGAGGATGATTTACCATACAAAGTGTTTTCCAATCAGCTCATTTAAGGCAATTTAAGTCGAATGCAACCCTTAAAAATAAATTTCCCTTAAGGGAAATAATTGAAATTCCAAATATGTGGCTCATGTTTTATAAGTAAAATGTAAACAAACAACAGCTGAGCACTGAGGAAGTATTTAATAAAATATTTGTTTTTATTAATTGAATATGGAAATGATAAATAAAATGTATATAAATTATTTAACATATCAATTAATATAATTAATTTTTTTGTGTAATATTATTAAGAGAAGTTTACAAAAGTTTATAAAAATTCTAACAGTTGCATAAATAGGCTCATTAAATAAATAGGCAAGTGCTTAAATGAGACAGTGTGAAGGTATTATAACTCCTGTGTTAAAATGAAAGTCTGCTATATATCAAAAAAACATGGACTTATCTAATTACCCAATTTTTGAAAACTTCTTTATATTGTTGGCTCATATATACAATAACCATATTACTGGCAAAGCGCCCTAAACAAATGTTGGAGCTATTGGACCCCGTGAACGCTTAGTTCACCCAAACTAAACTGTTTTGCTTTAAGCACAGAAAATTATATATAGGTCGTGTGCGAGTTAGGCTAAGTTGCGTTCTAAATGAGGGAAATTCTAAGTTGTGTCGATAATGTATTGATGTGTCGATACGTGTTGATAAATGGCAAAATGTGTGCAGTGCAAAAAATCCCAAAAAATCTCCCATTTGGTTTAGCATCAACTTAGCCTAACTCGCACACGTCCATAATTTGATTAATTTGTTGCTATATGAGAATTGATGGCACCAGTACTCGTGCTGTGGTGTTTTTTTTCCTTTTTTCACATTTGATTATTTATGTGACTATTTGATTTTGAAATTTGATAGAAAATCAAGAATTGAAGAAAAATACTGATTCTTACAAAAACTAACAAATAATGAGTACTAAAAAATACAGAACACTTAGAACACAGATATATTATTGTAGCAACAACTGTTTTAGTCGTCCTCATACAGCTGTTAGTGTTATTGCACGGAATAATAGCAATAAAAAATTAATTTTTTTTTCATTTCTTATTCTAACTAACTTTTGTCACTGTTTTAACTTTGATTGTTGTTGATTTTTCCAAACAGAATAAAATTTTTACGATCAGTGCCGCATTAAACAATGTTCAATACAAAAACAAATAAATAATGCTTTTGCTTAAAAGAAATTTTTCAAGCCGATCATTGCAGTGTATCTAAAAAAATCAGGGCTTTTGGTATCTGGATCGAATTTTTTTGATATAATATTTTTATTAAAAATGTTTAATTTAACAAAAAAAAAAATGGAAAAAAAAACCCGTTTTCGCTTAGACAAAACTTTTGCAAGCAGTGCTAGTATGTGCTAGTATGTCTAAAACAAATCTGCGCCTGGTACCGAATTTTTCTTAGAATTTCTAGATTTCTTTGATATCACAATATTTTCATTAAAAGTGTACAATTTTCACTATAAAGTAATTATTGTATAAATTATTTATTTTTAAGTTTCAACAATACTTCTGATGGTGCAATTTTTCACAAAAAAAAAAACTGAAAAAAGAACTTTTTGCAAACCGAACGAAGGCTTAATATATTTAATAAATCAAGGCTTGTAAATCATATTTTAAATAATTATTGATTATAAAGTATTTATTTTTTATTTTATTTATTAAAAAAAAAATTAAAAAAAAAACGCAATTTAGCTTATATGAAATTTTTTGCAAGCCGAGTGGCGCAGGTCTCGTTTTTTATATAAAAAAAAAATCAGTGCCTTCAATATCCACATTAGAATTGCTTAGAAATCACAATAAAAATAAATAATTTACACTACGAGTATTTAATAATTATTCATTATAAAGTATTTATTTTTTAATTTTAATAATAATTTTTTTTTAATTTATTCGAAAAAGAATAAATTAAAAAAAACTCAAGTTTGCTTACGTGAAGTTTTTTGTAAGCCGAGCGGCGCAGCTCTCGTTTTAAAAAATCAGTGCCTTTAATATCCACATTAGAATTGCTTAGAAATAACAATAAAAAGAAATAATTTACACTACGAGTATTTAATAATTATTTATTATAAAGTATTTATTTTTTAATTTTAATAATGGTGCAATCTTTCACAAAAAAGAATAAATTAAAAAAAACGCAAGTTTGCTTACGTGAAGTTTTTTGCAAGCCGAGTGGCGCAGCTCTCGTTTTTTATAAAAAAAACAGCGCCTTCGGTATCTGAATCCTAGTATTTAAGAAATCAGTATATTTTCATTAAAAATGTACAATTTACACTATTAAATATCTATTCCATTCTTTATTTTTTTTAACAAATTAATCTACTACTCCAAACTTTCACGAAAAATAGGAAAAAAAAAATTAAATAACGCTTTTACACACACGAAACTTTTTGCAAGGCTGGACCACTCGTATTTCTAAAACAAATCAGCGCCTTCGGGAACTGAATTCAAATTTTTTAGAAATCAAAATATTATTATTAATAATTTACAATTTTAACTATTAAATACTTTTGGCTATTTGGCACTTATTTATTATTTTCTATAACTTTTCTTTCTAATGGTGCAATCTCCGACGAAATATATAAGAAAACTTTTGGAATCGTAAAAAGTTCAATAAAAACTTGAATTTTTTATAAAATAAATTTTATTTTATTTAATTGTAATTGTTTAATTATAATATAAATCACACTTACCCAAATGTATAAATTTTAAATTACGAACAAAAAACTTTAAAAACTTCACAGTTGAACAAAACTTTCCGTACGCAAATTCGAACTGCCGCCGTCGAGCAATTATCGAAAGTGATGAGTATTTTGCTCCGAAGCGGCAATGCTACTTCGTAAGAATTCATTTATCTTTACAGAATTGCCATAATAAACTTATTTGCGTATCCTCTTAATTTGTTTCACAACATTTTTATATATTGTTAGATTGTGTGAGAATATCTACAATATTATTATAATAAAATTATTATTATTAAAATTCAAATATTATATTTGGTTTAAACAAACTTATTTTATTATAATTAAATAATATTTAATTCAGTAAATAATTATATAAATTAATATTAACATAATTACATTATTGATTTATTTTGAATTTATTAATTATTATGTTATGGCGCTTGTTGCGCCTTTGTGTCCTTTTTATAAGGCAAAATATTTTATTTATGATATAATTCAATATATATATATAGAACTCATTGTATTTATTTGAAACTATCTTGAAATTTTCGAAATCAATTGAATTCCAATTGGTTGCAAATTACTAAGGACGTGTGCGAGTTAGGCTAAGTTGATGCTAAACCAAATGGGAGATTTTTTGCACTGCACACATTCAGCCATTTATCAACACGTATCGACACATCACTACATTATCGGCACAACTTAGAATTTCCCTTATTGATTAACTGATTAAACTTAAACTTAACTGATTAATATATTTGTAGAACTGTTTGCATTTATTTGAAACTTTCTTGACATATTTGAAATCAATTGGATTCCAACTAGTTGCAAATTACTACATAAAAAATTCTTGATTAATAATTAAGACTACCTAATTAGAATTAATTGAAAGAAATAAATTATTTTAAAATTAATTTTTATTTTATTTGCTTAACTAAAATTAAAAGTACTGCGAATATCATTTCACTTCAATTTTGCTCATTCAGATTCATTTTGATTTTATTAGGTTAGTAACTCAATTAATTAAGTACAATAAGATTATTTCCAATTACATTCATCTTTCAAAAAATATACCGGATAAATCACTATAATTTATTTATAATATTATAGATACTATAGCATAGCATACATATACGGTATATATTTATATTAGGTCTGTTCCACGAGCTATTCGTAGTAACTTTGAGTAACACGGTGTGTATACAAGTGCGTTTCACCAGTTAACTTTCGAGTAAATGAGAGCATTTGAGAGAGCGTAACATCCCTGTCGAAAATGCTACACAGACTTTACTCGTACATTTTATTTCAAATAAAATTTGAGATGATGTGTGAATCAGCTGTTTTGGTTTGAATTCAAATTTTTGTATTGTTTATTTGGGCGGCACTGGTGTTCTCACCAGATTTTACACAAAACTGTTGTAAAGAGCGTAATTTGGCACTTTATTTGTGTTACGCTATCAGTTTGTACTTTACTTGAGTTTTAATTGAGTTCTACTACAAGTACCTTTTTTGAGTAATAAGTTACTCATAAGTTTGCACATTCGTATCCTTTTTCCATAATATAGGACTACAGAAAATAAATTACGTTGTACAAAAATCATGAATCATGATTTTACGAGATGTAATGGTTATAGAAAATCAAAAATAGAAAGTATCCAGAAAGAGAAAATACAATTTTTAAAAAATAATAATTGATCTACTCGTACCTATATTCTTTGATTAATATATTCATTCCATTTAATCAATTCATACGATTTAATGAATTCTTCATTCTTTTTCGAACGAATCATTTTTGTTCTTCGTGCAAAAATCATTCGTTGAAATGAACGCCTACTGTACTAATATTCGGATGTTGTATTGTTTATGTGTAATCTGACTTGGGGTTCCGACAATTCTTTGTAGCCGCCATCTTGAAAAAAATGGAAATTTGACTATTTATATATTTGGTACTAAATGAACTTTTTTTTATTTATTTGTGATGTAATCTCACTAGTAGAAGAAGAAGAAAGGGATGACATTCGTGATAGAACTAAATATAGTGATGTGGATAGGAATACGTTCAAAAAATGATTTTCATTTAATGATTTTCAATTCACTTTTTGTTAATAATGCGGTTGTTATTTAAAGGTTTATATGTTTATATAATAACTTCTTAATTAAAATAGTTTTTTTAGTTATTAAACGTATAAATATTTATATACAATATATCTTTTCTATAAAATTTTTTATAAAAATTAAAATTTCTATAAAAAACTAAAAACAATTTTTAATAAAAAAGTTTACATAATGCTTAAAATATCCGATATATAATAAAAAAATTAATTAATTTTAATACAGGTACGCTAAGCTTGCTAATTTGAAAGGATAAATAGCATAATGTTGTGATACTTAAATTTGGGAAAACTGATATATAGTGATGAAGATACGGTAGCATATAGGATATAATAATATATATGATATAATAATTTGTAGTTGATAGTTTTAAGACTCTCAGAGAGCACGGTGTTTCACTACTGGATAAGTGGTGAATTATTGAACTTAAACACCAAAATTTGTTGAGAGGCACTCCAACATCTGCAAACAATATGGGTTTCTGAATTATTTTCCAATATTACTTTATTGGAATTTTTTTTTCTATTAGTTTATATTTTAAGTATAGTGATATATACTTGCAGTGCCGCCAATCGAGACTATATAGACTAGACCGACCTTGTACCACGACCATTTCGTATTTTGCTTTGTTTTTTATATATATACTATATTAGAAGTATTCCTAAGAATTTTAATCATTAGTCGACAGTTCGGTCTATAGAATTATAGTACTTTTATTGGAATCATTATGGATATGCGTCTGATTTATATAAAAACTCCATTTAGGCAAACTTCATTGCTTACGAATTAATCCACAGATTTTATTGTTATTAGACACGTTAAGAAGCTATAGGTCTTATTCTTAAATTCTGGTCACAACCGTTGTTATTTGATGCTCTTATAATCTAAATTCTAAAACATTTTTTCGGGTTCAATATTTTGTATTAGAGTTTTCGTGTTCAATTCATAACTCAAATGTTTTATATGATATATTTTATTCTTTTAGATTATATTTTCAAATGCATATGGTTCCATTATATGCCAGAGATATCAGTGCTTGCAATTCACACTTCAACTATATAGTATTTGACCATGTTGAGTCATTTGCTGAGGTAATGTTTTGACTTTTTAAATCTTTATTATTTCTTTATTGATATGGTAGTATCTTAGAGAAACCACACATCAAAATATGTGGTTTTAACTCACACATATGTAGGTTCAATTTTATTTCAAAGCCAGAAAAAGATCGTGTAGTGATATCTTCGGTATAACATAATGTTGTGTTTGTAATTTGTAAACATGTTATAAGGTCACGTTTCAAATCACGAGTAAAAATATTGGTTCTCATATACAAGCATGTATATATATGGAAGCATACCTCTATCTATCTGTTAAGAGGTGTAGGATTTCACATTAAAAAAAAGATTAAAAAAAAACGCGCTAAAATAAACAGATTTATAAAATATTAAAAGTTTATTTTATGTTCAATAGATAATATAATTTTATGCAATTTTAATGAAGACAAAGACGTTCGATGAATTACTCGTTAAAATTATATTTCGATGATTCACTTTTCCACAGCTTTTTTAAATATATAATATTGTATGTGACGAAGAGCGATCTCAGCTAGAATATGTGTTGAATTGTCTGTTTAGACCAAGTATTTAAAAGAATTTACGAAAAATGAGCCACTGTTGGTAAATCACTTGATCTATATAGAATATAGTCATCGAACATTTACTTCAATAAGTCCAGAGCATGCAAACTCACATATGGAAGAATCAAATCGTTCTTTATTGTTCTGTTTCGGGTGTAATTGAAGACGATATTTCGATTTACTACATTTTTGAAAATACATGGTTCAATAATTTCACTTGTCTATAAGCAGCACCAAAAACACATTTTTCAGGGTGCGTCAGTAGATATTGTATCACTTTTTCATACATATGCAAAATGTAATTTTATTCACAAATCTAATGAGGCAAATATAAGTCTCATAGCCTCCTGGTATATAATACACTGTTAACCTTTTTATCTGTACAACAACTTTGGATACATGTATAAATAATTATAAACATTGATCACGTATACATATTTATATATGTATACGTGATCAATACATATATGATCTACTAAATATTATTCGATAAATATACGATGTTAGGTGGGACATTGTCAGTTAATTGAATGTCGTTATATTTTAAAAAAGAACTTTCTAAAAGCAGAATCATTGAATCAAAGTTTATGGAAAGCTAGTTTCTTCTGTAGAAATGATTAGCAAAATGAATTCCAGATTGCCTTTCACTCAGTATGGAAAGAGATGTGCGTTAAGCAACAATTAACTTTGTTAAAACATTAACAATAAATAAATTAAGTCATTTGCATTATTTTTGTTTTATAATGTGTTTATATATATCCATATATAATCAAAGTCATTATAAAAGAACAGACAGACATCTGAAAAATAATTAATACAATTGAATTTATTAAAACATGGAATTTATGAATTATTATTTTTAAGAATATCTTATATTTGTAAAAATATTAATACGATTTCCATTGTAACAAATTAAACTGTTTTTAATTGTTTTATGTTTTTTATATAAAATTATGAAGTTAATCCATTGAACATTAATATTTCAAATTAGAATTTTGGCGCTCTTATAATATTGTTATGGCAAAGTTCCAAATAAGTTATAAAATTCTTATCAGAATTTAACAAAACTTCGACAAGTTTTTACAGATGCAAAGCTTTTGAATAAAGCAAACTTGCTTGAGCTTGGAAAGATAATTGTATAAATTTGGCTAAAAGCTTTATAACTTACAAGCTTTATACTTATAACAAATAATATTATTTGCCTGTGTCTGTGCTTACATCTTATAGAACTTTCATCAAACACCGCAATATTTACGATCTTTACCTTTTGAAAAAACATAGTCGGTAAGACAGTTTAGTTTGAGTTATAGCGCCATCTGAAATTATATTGTTTGCAATTCATGTTAACGTCAA